AAAAAAAAAAAAAAAAAAAAAAAAGAAGTGTGTAGTCAGGCACATTTCCCCAACACAGAACCTAAATTAGGGGAAATGCTTATCAGCGCCTCACATGACCCCAGTGGTCTGCAGAACACAATGTGAGGGTATGCTGCAACAAATGGTTGAGATAAAATCCATCTTTGAATAAAAGTTATATTAGAGAGGACACCAAAACAAGTTGGAAATGTATATCCTTCACACTAGTGCTGCTCAGATTCTTTACTGAATTCTCCACCGGAGAAGTCAAACTGAACAGATCACCTGAACAGAATCTCGATGGCTTTGTACTTATCGGAAGCTTTTTGTTTGATTTTTTTTTTTTCACTTTGTCACCCTTGGCAGAGTGCCATGGCATTATAGCTCACAGCAACCTCAAACTCTTGGGTGCAAACGATCCTCTTGCCTCAGCCTCCCAAGCAACTGGGACTACAGGTGCCTACCACAGCACCCAGTTATTTTTAGATATGGGGTCTCACATTGGCTCAGGCTGGTTTTGAACTCCTGAGCTCAAGCAATCCACTCACCTCAGCCTCCCAGAGTGCTAGGATTATAGGCATGAGCCACTACATCAGATCTGTTTGAAATTTTTTAACACAATCTATTTCCCAGGAAAGGAAACGGGTGAGTGTGGTCCCAGTACTGACTTAGGAAAAGACTAATTTCAAAGATACAATGAGACCTTCCCCTTCCCCAGCCTCCCAGGGCCCCAGGCTGCTGAAGGGTGGAGGCACAGGTGAGTGTCTCTTGCCAACGCAGACCTTGTTACTGCACTGACTCACAAGGCCATCACTAGGGTAGCACACAGCAGGGTGATGTACTGGGCTTGGTATCTTGGGGATGAAAGAAGACAGAGGTTGGAGAACCTCAGGATTACTGTAGCAGGTGAACTGAGACCAAGGAACAAGTTAAGTCAGGATATGAAATCTCACACTCGTCTCTGCAAATTCCATCCAGATTCCCTGTCCCCCTGCAGACTGCCCCAGCAGTCTGCTCAGTGTGGGTGGGACCAGGTCCTGCCAATTCTATGGCCCCGACATCTGATCTCAACCTGGTCCTCAGCAGTGTTTATTGTTTCCGTTCCTGATGGTTATGCTCTGGACTGAGTTGCTCCAGGGCACCTTTGATGCCACATAAATGGGATTTCATCTCTATATAAATGTGAGGCAACAAGATAATATATCTGCCAGGCTAGGCAGCCCACAGAGCATAGGTTACCTGGCTCAGAGAATAGCTGGAAATCCAATTCCCACACGAAAAATTAGAAAGCTGCTTTATTGTGACTAATTCCCAAGTAGGCCTATATGTTAATAGATCAATGGCTAAAAAGCTACATGCTATTTTTCAATGAGATTCTTCCTTTCAATAAAGAACATAATCTAAGAGGTAAATTACACATGCCTTCCCCTTCTCCACCATAGGACGAAAGCAGTGATTTTGTCTGTAAGTGTTTCTTTTCCCCAGTCAAGCCTTCTAATCAGAGACTAGCTCTGCTCTATGCACACCTCTGGGCAGGCAGGCTCTATATATTTCAGGCCTGGAAAAGAAACACTAATCCATTCAAATGCTCCCAAACTGCACAGGTCTCAGCTGCCTCCCAGTAGGTATTTTGCACTTCCTTCTAACACGTGGCAGCCTTCTCATGACTCAGCCCAGTTGCTGCTCAGAATTTTCCCTTTGTAGTTTCCTCATGTGGGCAGCTGGTCCCCAGCTGTTTGCTGTCAGCTGCTGGCCGCTGGCCTTCCAGCCCTGTTTTGAAGCTCAGGCTACACCCAAGTATCACCACCTCCCGAGTGCCCAGACAGTTGGCCTTTTTCATTTCCCTGCATTTTTAGAACATGTGATTTGCCCTGGGAACCCCCTTCCCTCCCAGGGATGGTCCAGGTCCAGCTAACCTCTCCCAGCAGGGTTCCATCCACTTTCTCTCCCAAGGCCTGAACTCTGAGCTCGGGAAGATGACAGCAGCTTCCTGGACTACAAGTGTTGGGTCAGGAGCCCATGGCCATGTGGGAACAGCCTGAGGACTTTCTCTCCCCGGAACTCATCCCTCCACTGTTGCTGGTGGAATCCATTTTGCTAAAAAGGTCATCCTGGCTGGGAGGCTCTTGACATCGGTTCATATAGTTTAAAATCTGAAATTTTAATGACTAGGCTGCCACATACCACTTGGCTGAGAGATCAGAGTTGCTTCACAAGCACATGGGTGGGGGGGTATGTTGCCTGTCAAGGCATTCCTGGAAGCATTGACATTAGTTTGGTGACTCTCTTTTTGCCCCTCCACCATTCCTTTCTCTTTCAAACTCAAATAAGAAAGTAACTCAACATTTGGGCTGATCATATGCCTGAGTGACCAGGCGTCTCAATTCAATCTAGTTGGTATAATGCAAACAAACAATTTCTCGACTCTGTGCTGAAGGCCCAGCTTTTAGAAGTTTTCAAATTGACTGTGGACGGATACATACGCAAAATAAGAAAAACGAACTGCTAAAAAAATTAAGATAAAATATAAGCATAAATCTTGGGATTTAAACAAAATTCTTCTGTCAAACTGGTATAAAAATTTTCCAAACACTCTCAATTTCTGTTTTTATCTAATCATGAATCATGCCTCTTCACAGACTATACTTTGAGTAGCACAGATGCAAATTATTACCTTACATGGACATTAAAATGTTTCAGATTTATATTTCAGCCATTTTCTTTCAGAGAACACAGCATTTCTGGCCATTTCTCTGTTCCTAGTTTGTCTAAACATGTGACTAGGCTCTGCTGATTTCTCCATGAGCTCAACTTGGTGGAGGCTTCCTCCAGTACACGGCACTTCCAACCCTAATGCTGATGGGCGTCACTCTTCTCTCTTTCTCTTTAGAAGGAGTTTGAACTCATATTCTCTTGCCTAGGTCTCATCTACCATATACGCTCCACTTCCTGCCCATTGATCCTCAGAAACTGGTTGAGTTCTCAAGTGCCTGTACATATATTTGTTTTGGAAGATACACATGATATATAATACCTACATAATGAGCGTTTTATATTTGCACAATTATACATTATAGGGACTTGGGAACCCTATGAAGATACATAACATGCATTTGATTTTAAATGCATACTTATATGACATACTTTTATAAATATACAATTATATAATAAATCTATATAATACATAACCCCCGAATTGATTATATATTATATACATTGATATATAAGTAGGCAGATAATCATACTTGCCCTACTCACCAGTGTCATTGGGGTATTTATCCCCCCGGGTGCACGTCTTTCCGTCATCCTCCTGGACATAGCCCTCCCGGCATTCACAGCGATAGCTACCCAAGGTGTTGACACAGACGTGGGCACACAGCGTCCCATTGCTAGTGGCGCACTCGTCAATATCTGGTTTGAACAAAATGCAGAGAATACTCGGTTTCAGAGAATTCACTTCCAATGCAATAGATGACACTGAGCTTGGCCCCTCGTTAATGACTACTAAAGGGTACGTTGCCTGACCTGATCAGAGAACCTAGGGTACACTAGGAGGCTGGAAACGTGGGCTACCCACGAGAGCAGCACTCTGGGCGCGTGACTGTGGTTACAGATTGGCTGCTGAGGAGGGTTTTTTTTGACTGTGGCTCTGCCACCGCCAAGTCACGTGCTGCCTTCAGAGCCCTTGCTTAGAAAGTGCTGATGAAGCCGGCCCTATTTCACAGGGCTCCTCAGAAGGGAAAATCTGAGTCTGTGATGCCTGAGGGCAACGCACATGTGGAGAAGCAAACATTACTGAAGTGATTTTTTTTGCAAGGACCCTGGTGTTCTGAGGGTTTTTAAATTTCCCTTTACAGCTGTAAGTTCCCAACAGCCTGGGGATCTGAGGGTCACTCAGGAATGGCTCCTTTCCAGTTAAAAGACACAATGGTACCTGGGAAAAGAGACTTCTAATAAAAGAAAATAGTCATAATGGACCTAATGGGGAGATCGTGCCCCAGGAAATTTCTGCTTCATCAGTGACCCAACCAGACCCCTCAGGAGCTGTGCAAATGAGCCATGAGGCCATCAAGCAAGTCACTGCTAGGAGCCAGTGTGAACTGCACACATCACAGACTTGTTCCCTGAAACAAAAACATTTCCCAGCATGGCAAGAGAGCGAGCCCAACTCCATTTCCCGTTGGCTGGCTGAGGCCCCCAGGTAGTGGTAGGTGGGACTATGATACGGCCCTAGAGTTTGATGCAGCCCCAGACTGCGTGCATGTACTGGGCAGAGCTCAGACCCTTCTGGACAGGCTGCTAATGACCAGCTCTGTAGGCTGAGCATGTGGAGGGGAGGGTGGTGATCTGGACACTCCCCTAGCAGGACATGCTACTCAGTTGTAGACCAGCTGTCACATCTGGATCCCCCTCTAATTCCTCAGGCTGCCTGCCCTTCCCCAGGTGTCCCTGCCCTCAATCTAAGTGGGAAGCTGCCTGCACTGTCTAAAGAGGACGAGGCTGAAGGAGAGAAATAGATGGAACTCTTAACAGAATGCAAGTGCTGCCGGTTCCAAGTCCCCTAACTGAGAACAGGGAACAGCGGCTACCACTAACTGAAGAGCCCTGTCCCTGGGACCTGGGCCATATGGAATGTGCAGGGTGGCCATGGATCCCAGGTCTGTTCAGCTTGTGTCTCAATCCCATTCCTTGTCAGTGCTGGGCACCATTTCTAGATGCTGATGGGCAGAAGCCAGGGACATGGAGTTAGAATTTCTCATAAATGGTGCTCCTAGAGCCCCTGCTGGGCAGAGGACAAGGGCTGCTCATCACTGAGAATTTGCCCTCCATGAGGGTCTACCTGCCACCTCCCAGTTCACTCTCCAGCTGATTCTGAAGCCTAACACTTCCTTGAGGAATTCGGGAGAAATAGATAATTCCAGACCCATCTGGAGAGTTGTGACTCACTGGAAGGGAGGCCAGAAACCTTTTTTTTTTAAAGCAAGGAGCCCTGATGTTCTCAGATTTAGCCACAGACAGTCCACACTTTGAAGCACAGGGTTCTGAGTTTAGCCATAAACCAGGGCAGGGCTGGAAAGCCCAGTCTATGAGGACAAGGGAACAGGCTGGTGGCTGCTAAGGGGGCTGCCTCTGCTCAGCTGCAGTCCAGGAGTCTGGCTTCAGCTCCCAGACGCCCTCCTGGCCTCTCTAGCATGTGGACACTTCCTTTCTTTCCTAGTCATCTTCTGAGACACTTTTTCTTGCCTTGTGCTTTCTGCGTGTTTGTGTTTCAGACACTTTCATCTGGGTACTCTAGTTCACACTTGGTAACGAGCCCCCTCTCCTGCTCTTATATCTCACTGCCACAGAGGATCTAATGAGTACCCTGAAGACTTCCTGGGCCGTGGTTTGATATCTGTAATGTGATGAAAGGCAGCCAGTGACCCCCAGGTACCAAGCACAGCTCCAACTGGGAATTTCAGAGGAGGAATCTAAACTAAAGCAGCGCCTCTGAGCTGGTCCTGCTGACCAGAAGGCAAAGCAGGACACAGAACCACCTGAACAGGGCCCACCCTCAGGAGCTGGGAGACAGGCACGTCCCCACACACCCAGACAGTATGGCTTCTCCTGCCTCCGGTGTCGCTCGCGGTCGTATCGGTATCCTGGGTAACAGGTGCACAGCACTCGCCCGAAGTTATCTGTGCACTGCTGCTCACAGGGAGCCTCGGCACAAATGTCATAGTCTGAAAGAGAAGCGTGAGCTCACATCAGCAACAGGAGGTGGCGAGGTAGCTGGCCTCTGAGCCAGGCTTTCTCTCTGTTCAAGGGCAAGTATGAAGTGTGGAGAGCTACATGTGAGGGGCATTGACTCTTTCAGGCTATGGGGCTCCTGCTAAGAGTACCAGCAATGGGTGACTTAACACGCAGCATCACAGCGGTTAAAAGCAAACATCATTTCTGATTTTTTCCCCTTAGGTCACCTCATTGTCCTTTGGTCTTTGTCACTGTTCAGACAGCAAAGATGCTTTTGATGACTAGGCTTTGCAGCAGTTCCCCAGGGACTTGTTTTGTCTTTTTCTCTGACTGCTGTCGTGAGAGGCAATTCCTTCCAGTGGCACGTTAAAGAAAGGCCAACCCTGGTATTGAGCATTGGTGTCAGAATGTAGGAGGTGGGCTGGAAGTCAGGCAGGCTTGACTGAACACGAGGATGAACACGAGGGAGGCTTTGTAACAGAAACACGTGTGAGTTAGTAGTGACCTGCAGCTTGTGTGTGTATTGTTATATGCGGGGGGGGGGGGGGCTCAATTCCACACACTGAGAAGGGGCTGGGGATGTTCAACAGCTAGAGAGCTCTTCTTAGCCCTCAGCCTGTGCACACCGGGACGGACGCTCGGCTGCTTGTAAAGAATTAGGGCATCTGTTCCTCTCAGCTCTTACAAACTGATATTTAATGGGTCTCCAAAGGGACCTTGGCTCTAAGTTAGTAGTTCAGGCTCGACACTGACTCCCAGACCAGACTCAGCATCTCATTAATCACTGCATTATCTTCCCCAGGTGCTGACAGATAAACTGTCCTTGGACAGAGTCTGGCTCTGCTCCACCACCTGTCAAGGTGAATGGGTGGCTGTCAGCCCCAATGCTGGCTGGGTTGGTGTGACCAGCATCCTGCCATTTTCATGCTGACCTGGAATACTCTTCCCCACAACTGTGATTCCAGGCTTGCTTTGCCTGCATGGTGTTCGGACC